ATTAAATTTAATTCAGAAAATTTTATTTTTAATTTCTGATTAAATTTAATTCAGCAAATTTTATTTTTAATTTCTGATTAAATTTAATTCAGAAAATTTTATTTTTAATTTCAGAAAATTCTATTTCTATTTCAGCAGCATATTTTTTTTAATTTCTGATTCTATATATATATATATTATTAATTATTTTTGTTTTTTTAGCTTTTATATATATATTATTAATTATTTAATATATATAAATTAATATTTAAATAGCGGTTATCCCGCTCCGCGTCATCCCGCTATCCCAGTTTTAGGGTCGGCCGCTCCGCGCCGCTATCCGGGATTGACTACTATGTAATTTTTTTTCAAAATAGCCATTACTCACTATCCTGCCATAGCGTTTTTGGGGCAGGCCATTGCGCCACTATCTGGGATTTAAAACATTGATCAATGCAACATGTCTGGGTTAGTTTCATGTTTAGAAATATTCCAGTTATGCATCTAAATTAATGTTGAATTATTTTGGGGGTGATATACATATTGTATAAGAATGACTGATGATATTTTGAGTATAATGAGTTTAAGGTTTTATTTATCTTGTTTTGTAGTTTCATTTAGGACTTATCATTTAAACTTGTTTTATGTTCTTTTGTCACGATCATTCCATTTCAATGCTTCAGGTATGTGAAAAGAGAGCATCTTATTGATGTTACTGAAGTGTTTAGGGTAATCAATGCTGAGAAGAAGCTTCGGATAGCCAAACTTGCTTTGTACTTAATAGTTCTTATTGTTACTATCTTCAGGTTTGTCACACCCTTACAATAGAACATGCTTATCTACTGTCTGTTGGCTTGTATGTCTTACTCCTTAACATTGTATATATTTCTTTTTCTAATTAAGGCCTTGCATTAGAAATCTTGCTGCAGAAAGAATAATATTCTACAATTCCAAGTTTGAAGAATTAGACATTTGGTCAAATCCTCTAGTGTTCTACAAAAATTTTGTAATCCTCCTGAAACATACAATCCACATTGTTCTTCAGTAGATTAGTGTTCATCTCATTAGGAAATTAACCATTTTAGCTGCAATGGTTTTAGAGACTCTTAGACCCTGTAATTAAAATTTCTTGGCTAGTCCCTCTCCTACCATATTATTTTCCTCCATAATTCTTTTGGTCTCCAGTGTTGATGTAAATGAGTAAAATTCTAATAAGTGGTGTTGATTCAGTGATATTAAGTTTTGTCGTTATAATTGATTTGTGTCATCATACATATAAGCTTACGTATCAGAATACTTGGTTTCCTTGTCTACTTACATTATTTGACCTAAATAAATCTTCAAAGTATTTTGTCCTCCTAATTTGAAAAATATAGAACATACCAAATGCAATAATGCAAGTTAAAAAGATTTTCTTTTAAGGAAAAAAATGATTATGAGTTTTTTACATATTAATAGAATCTCATTCTTTTAAAATAATTAATTGTGATATTATTAGTTATTAACTTGCTTTTGCAAAAGTAATTTCTACAAACTTAAATGTGAATCGATACAACTCTGATCCATTATATTCTTTTTACCAGATTAAATTAAAAAGATCATACTTCTATTTAGTTGAAAGAGAAAGTTGGAAGAGAAAAAACTTTATATTAATTGTGTGTAGTGTACATTCACTTATCTCTCTTTCTATAGGGTAAAGATTATTCCTAAAACATAAATAAGGAAATAATAGTAATAGGGAAATAAATATTACATGATACTCTAACATATTTTGACCTAAAATTATCTCTATTATTTACAACATATTTCATGGGAGTGTCATCCTCCTATCTTTCATGCATTATAGTAATTGTATTGTGTTTTTTGTTGATTGGCATCATCCAACTTGTAGTTTTTATGTTTTGCAGAAATAGATATCCTATCTTGGTTGTACTTGCCTCTTGTCTACCTAATAAAATGGCTTTTCCCAATTCAGATAATCATTTCACTTCATCTAGATTGTATATCTTATTCTCATTGAAGAATCAACCAATCTCTATTGTTAATAAATTCGTTGTATGTTATGAACCAAGAACAAAATTTGAGAATAGAGTGATAAGCAAAAACAAATGTAGAAATGCTGAGAAAATGTGTGTGTATTACCACACATGTAATCCTCTATTTATAATGAATAAGGATACAAAATAAGGAAATAAAAGATAGCAAGTAATAATGAGTAGGATCCCTAATCTCCGCTATACAAGTTTCCTTAATTACAAAGGAATCATATAAAATCAAATCATATATTTAACACTCCCCCTCAAGCTGGAGCATATATGTCATATGAGTTGAGCTTGTTACGCATGTCATCAACTCAGGTCCCTTGAGAGATTTGGTGAATATATCTGCCAATTGGTCACTAGATCTAACAGAGCCAGTGATGATTTCACCTGATAGGACCTATTTGCACAAAGTCACAATCAATGTCTAGTATCTTGAATGTTTCCAAATTTTAGTTGTTGGAGAAGTTGCCTAAGCTGTGTTATCTTGCATGCAGCTACTGCCATAGCATGATACCAACTTTAACACTAGATCTAACAATGGTGTTTAGCTTCTTGCTTCTCCATGAGATTAAGTTCCCTCCAATATGTAGTATTCAAGGTGGACCTCCTATCTAATGGTGATCTTACCCAATCAGCATCAGAGTAAAAAACAATCTTGGCATTGTCTTTGTCTTCATGAAGTAATCCATGATCTGGTGCATTCTTGATGATGTGTCATAATGGAACACTTTTTGCATTTGGTTATGATTCCCTTTCCCAATTGATGCCAAAAGCTTGAGACTAGGACTTGGAATTGGGGACCTGACCTAACAATATTTGCATGTAGCTAATAACTCTTCATCCACCGTGTTGATACTTTTTGTTGTCCCACAGCACAACCCCTTCTTGAGGTTCTTGGCCAGATTGATGACTTAAGTCGCTTGGTATGGATCTTATCTCAAACCTTAGGAAGTAACCAACAAGCTAATGTTTGGCCTACTCGGCCACTTGCTTCCAACACCAATTTTTTAAAATAATCCTTCACCAAACCCTTGGGCGGGCGCAAATCACCCTGCACTGATCCTAAACTACACTCCTTAAACCACTATCTTTGCTTCCAAAAGTCTTGGGAGACTTTTTGTCTTCTTAGGCAAGAATTGTGTTGAGTTCTCACATCGATTGGAGATATGACCAATGTATTCCTTACAAGGTTTGGATAGTTTTTTGAAGGTTTGTTAAGCCCTAAGCTCAAATTCTAAAGCTTATGCTAGATTTGTTATTGGGAGACTTGCATTTGTCAACATCTTAGATGTTTATTCTAAGTGTGAGGGAGTGTTGTTATTGGGTTACTTGCATTTGTCCATGCACCAGATGTCTAGTTCTAAGATTGACTAGAAATATGGCCAATGTAATCCTTATAAAGTTTGGGCAGCTCTCACCTTACAAGTCGGCTTTTGTGAGGTTGCGTTTAGCCCTAAGCCCAAATTCTAGGAAACTGAAACCAGACAACTAGTGTGTTGTCCAAGCTAATGAAAGCCAATTGTATATTCTCTGCTGCTTTCATTTATAGTTCTCTAAGAACTTTTTTGCTTTTACCATCTACCAATGTGCATTTTTACCATTAGAACATGGTAGTTCCACCTTGCCTTTGATTGGCACTGCCCACACTCAATTCTTCAGAATCACGGCTGTTGCATTTCCCCCCAAATTCTTATTCCCTTTGAGTGGCTCCTAATTGTGTGACTGACACCTCTTGGTCTCCCCTTTCTCCCATCTCAAGGCCATGTTTCTTTGTCCATTTCCCCAACATCAGTTTAATCTCATTGATGCCATCCAACATCTTGATATATTTTATATTTTTCCAAGGATTGCAGCTGAACTCCTTGTTCACTTCACAAGTAATCTTTTCTAAGACTTCTATGCAATTCTTGATTCTTCATCTCCCTTTTTTTTGAACAGCAAAAGAAATTATTAATTTGGTACAAGGGGTACCATAAACCCATTTACAACAGGAGAAGACATAGAAAACATAAATTGAACACATAAATTTGTTTGCCAACACCATAAAACCTCCTCCTTCATACCCTAGGACAAATGCAAAGACCAAGGTTGCTACACCATTGTGAGAATGTAAATTGAGAATTCTTCTTAAAACTTGACTGTCACGACCAAGAGGTAAAGAGAATGTCCTTGATAATTTTGTCTAGATCAAAGCCTCCATGTTCAAACACACATAGATATTTGTGCCTCCACAGGGTCCACATAGTCATACTCCATATTATGCGCCAGGTTTCCACTTCTGACTTGGACAATAATGGAGCTGGAATGAAGCCAAAATGTTGTTCTAATGACTGTGGTAGGGGAGAGGGGTAGTTTAGCCAACTGAGCTATTGTGTCCATACCTTATATACTAGAGGACATGTGCAAAAAATATGTGAAGAGCTTTTAGGTTCTACTTTGCAAAAGGCACATAACATCTCTTTAGAACCTAAGATGACATTTCTTTTTACCAAATTATCAACTATTGGTAGTCCCCCTTGCAGCAACCTCCACATAAAAATCTGAACTTTGGGGGGAGCTAAAGTATTCCAAATTTTTTTAAGAGCTATGGCTTTAGTGGACCCAAAGACTTCTACGTGAATAGCTTTATAAGTTGACCTGACTGTAAACGAGCCAGAGGAATCAAGCTTCCATACCCATGAGTCTTATAGGTCTTTGCAGAAAGTGATACTCTTAATTGTATGTAAGATAGCCTGTTCCTAAGCTAGCTCTCATTCGAACCAATTCCTACGCCATTTGAAATGCCATACCTAACCAGCTTCTGACCAGCACCCCATATCAACAATTGTGTCATGTTTTTGTTCTGAATTTAGGTAGAGCCTCGGATATGTTGTTGCCAGATTTTCTGCTCCAACCCATTTATCCTCCCAAAATTTAACCCTTGTCCCATCTCCAATTTTCCAGCTCACTAACTTATCAAACCAGCTATCCTCTATCTCACTTCCACAAACCTTTAGGAGGTCAGGCCACCAAATAGAATCTTTGTCAGAGGCATTATGTAGAGACATGTTGCTACCTCCTCTGTACCTTGAATGTAACACTTGTCCTCACAAGGTGTTTGGTTGATGGAAAAGGTTCCATCTCCATTTTGCCAACAGGGCTGTGTTAAACATAGTGATATTTTTTACACCTAATCCACCTTGTGCCTTTGGTTGAGTAATCTTGTCCCACTTAATCCAAGGAATCTTCTGATGACTCTCTTTGGACCCCACCTCTGTATGGACTTTATTTGCCTAGCCACCTTCTTTGGCATTTTGAAGAAAGATAGGTAGAAGAGGGGTAGAGAAGCAAGAGCAAAATTGATCAAGCACACCCTTCTCGCCATAGAGAGCGTTTTACTCTTCCATAAGGACAACTTTTTAAGTTTTTGAAGGATGGGGTTCCATGTCTCCGCCCTCCTTGGATTCGCTCCTATAGGCAAGCCAAGATAAAAGAAAGGGAAATGTAGAAGTTTACAATTCAACAGGTGGGCATAACTCTTCATTATGGATGGTTCCATGCCAACCGCTCCAAAATTACATTTACAAAAATTGACCTTTAACCCTAATACAATCTCAAAGCACCGCAACATGCTTTTTATTACTGTAACATTCTCAAGACAAGCTTCACCCAAGAACATGGTATCATTTGTATATTAGACTATACTAACGTCAATTTTGTTTTTACCCACCTTCAGGCCTCTGAACAAACTTTTTTTCTCTGCCTCCCTCATCATACCTGCTAGCCCTTCGGCAACAATGTTAAAAAGGAATGGTGCCAGAGGGTCTCCCTGCCTTAGGTCTCTTTTTAGGCTAAATTCATTAGTTGGACTTCCATTAACAAGCAATAATACATGGGCTGTTTTCAAACATTCACTTATCCAATCTACCCATTTGTGACTGAATCCCAAGCGTTGGAGCATATAAAGGAGGTAATTCTAGTTAACCGAGTCATACGCCTTCTCATAATCCACCTTAAAGAAGATACTGCCTTGTTTCTCCCTTTTTGCTTCGTCAATAGCCTCATTAACCACTAGTACACTATGCAGCAGATTCCTCCCTTCTAAGAATGTGCTTTGTCTCTCATCTATAACACATGGTAACACGATTTTCAATCTATTAGCTAGAATCATGGACAAAATCTTATACATACACCCCACCAAAGAAATAGGTTTGAAGTCACCCAAATGTTATGGGTCTTCCTTCTTGGAAATAAGAGTAATGAATGTAGAATTGGAACCCCAAGGAAGCTTACTGTTAGCATGAAATTCGTTAACAAAATGAATGATATCCCCTTTCATAATTGAAGCCATCTGGCCCAGGACTCTTGGAACTACCACAATCCCACATTGCTTTCTTAATCTCCTCTTTAAACTAAGCGATAAGCCTTTCATTTTGAGTTGTAGAGATACTTTTAAAGTGTACACCGTCCAGATTAGGCCTTTGATATGAAGTTATTGAACTCCCTGATATTTGAAGAGCCATAGTTCCCACATTTAGACTAAGTCGTTCCCTTGCATTTCTCACGCAATTAAAATCCCTAGCTAGACACCATAAATTTGTAGTACTACTCTCCTTTTTTTCAATCAGCTTTCTCCATAGACATGCCTTTTGAGATCTTTCACAAGGTGTGTATATATTAACTATGACCACCCTCTTTCCATTATATTTCCATTCCCCTTCCAAACCCAAATAGCCAGTCCCTTCAAAATGTGAGTTTATCTTGAATTTTTCTTTTCTCCAATGCATAGTAATCCACCTCCTGAGTTGATAGTAGGTACCATCCTCCATTCAAAATCTCCTTCTCCCCATAACAAGTGGCATAATTTTCATGTGATTTCTGCTTTTTTAGTCTCCTGCATGCATAAGAAATGAATATTCTCCTTGACTACCAATCTTCGTACATGACGCCATTTAATGTTACCACCTAGCCCCTTGACATTGAAAGATAAGATCTTCATTAATCACCATCTTCATTTCCCTTCTGAGATTGGTTAATTAATTTTAACCTCTCCTGCTGATCTCTCTCTTCTAAATTCACAAGTTTCTCAGTGATCTGCCCCTCGTCATGGTTATATGCCAGACCGATTATTTTTCCGATCTCCCATAGTTTTTTGGCCTCTGCCATGTTGTGTTTCAACCAGAATACTCTATTGCAATTTTTGATATTACAATCAAAGATGGAGTTACTTAGAGAGTGAATGGTGTGTTTTACTTGTTTTCTAAGCACATCATTGCTGGAAGTGTCCCAATCCCCACAGGCTCCAGGTTTGGAATTTGGGAGAAAACATTGATCAATGCTATTCAGCCCCTGTGAATCATCTTTTGTGCATGATTGGATGACCGTCGGTTGCGTTTTAGCTACAAACGATTCAGATAGGTGTATGGCTATTTTCTTGATGGAATAGGTTGGAGTAAGTGAAGTGCTCTTGCTCCTTTTGACCTCCTCCGATGTGAAGATCTTTTCCTTGAGCTTGCCACGGTTCAAATGGTTGAAGAAGATGATTGGATCGGTAGAAGAATTCCTAAGCTAAGGATGGAAGCATCCAAGCTAAAGATTCAAATGAAAGCTCACTTTCAAGTTTAGGAATGGAGGATTTCCTAGAACTAAGGCCAGTGAGATTTCGGTGACTCTTGGAGAGAATTTGGATGAAGCAAAATTCAGAATTCTCATTCAATCAAAAGTGAATACAAGATAAGAGAGATCATGCATATATAGGCTCGGCTAGGGAAGCAATTGGTGCCAAGATTCAAACACCACATGTGGCGCCAAGATTTAAATTCAAATTTGAAATTTGAATTCAAATCTTCATCCCATGTGCAATGCCGTGAACCTAGGTGCCCTCATGCATCTTAATTTGATTTAGGAAGCATTTAGAGTTGATTTGGATAAGCACATGGTCAGCCACAAGTGGCGCCATCCATGTGACCCAAATTCAACTTAAATGCCTTCTAAATTAAATCTAGTTTAGCCTAATGAACTAAGTAATCCCTCAATAGTCCTATTCTAATGGCCTAAATACAATGGCCAATCAAATACATTGGAAGGAGAAAATTACAAGAATGAAAATGAGCCCAATATTGGGTATCAAAAGCCCAAAGACCCATGAAGCCCAAAAATCCTAATCTAGGGTTCATAATAAAAGACCAAAACAATGTAAATTCCTACACTACTAATATGCAATAAAGTGGTGGTCATTCAAGTAAAGTCCAAGTGAAAAGCACCCTAGGCCCACCAAGCCCATTAGGCCCACTAAGCTCTGAAGCAGTCAAATCTTCAAGTAGTCTTCTAGCCATTGCTCTAGTGATTGGACCCTTGTGCTCTTCCATCATCTCTCCAAAGGCGACTCAGCTTTTGCATCTTCATGTTGTGTCTCTTAAGAGTTAGAAGAGGTCTTTGTTTCCAACTGTGTGATGCCTAGACACGATCGTTGTATACCCTATTCTCTACCTTGATTATGAGATTCTCCTCCTTTTCCAATTTGGTCATCGCTCATGTGTGAACGGGGTGCTAGGTCCAGTACACGCCTTTTCGACATTGGGCCAAATGCAATAGGCCCAATATTAGAGAGGATTGTGTTGCCCCGATCTTTATTGGGCCCAATTAGCCCATTCTTAGAATTGTCAGCCCCACGTAAGCCTTTAGGAGATTTCTCCCTGAATTGTGGATATCGTAGGTAAATAATGAAATGAAGATAAATAATGTTTCTCTTGAAGTTGAATGACAATAACGAGTTTAGAATTTTCCTCCAAAGTTTTTCTCTTAATTAACATTTTCCCCTTTCTGTGACAAAGCTAAAGTTCGGTTCCCAAATGCTAACACATCCAAATCCATTTCCCTTCTATCCCTTGCCTTCCTACTCTAACCACCTGACCTAACTAATTCTGTAATTATACTCTATAAGTATAACTAACTTTATAAATTCCTAAATCCTATCACAAAGTATAAGCTGGATTTGCTTGAAAGGAAATATCTTCATTTAAATCTGGATGAAGAAATCTGATTTATGTGTTATACTTAGTTATCAATCTTCGGTAGTGGTGTGTAGCTAGCGCCCAACTATGAAAATGCCATAGCAGGAAGCAAGATGAACGCTATTTTGAATATGATAATACAAACCGAATAATAATTACTATACATATGATTACTCAAAAGCAAAATTACAAATAAATAAATAATAATAAAGAAATTCATGATAAATAATAAGTCACAATCCATGCACAAACACAATCACCTTCAAACTAGGAGCAGTAAGAACATAGAAATAAAGTAAAAAAAGATGTAAGATGATGGTAAAATTAATAGAAAATGAACATAATAAATTAGATAAAATTAGTAGAATGTAAATTGCGAAGTTTAAAGGAAGGAGAAAGAACGGAACACAAGAAAAAAATCCTGCAAAGTGTGAAGGAACAGAGGTTGAAAAAGAGGTATCCTTTTGTGGAATTGTCAAGAAGAAGGGATTCAAATCCTATTATGTTTCTGAAGCAAAAAACGCATTACAAAAAGGGAGAAAATCACAATTTTACTCAAAAAAGCCCTAAACAATGTTGTTTCAGGGGTAACAATGGTAATGCTGCTATAGTTTGTGAAAACCCACTATATTGACCGCTATTTTGGCCACAATTGCCAGCTATTTTGGCCATTATTGTGGCTGCATTGGCCAAATTGGAATCTCAGGAGCCATTGACAGCTCCACTCTATTATTCCTATACAGCATGTTACTGACTATTATTTATGGCCGTAGAAGTATATTTAGAAACCTGAAGTACTCCTTGATTGACCTCACAATGCATACAATACATAAATCTTTGTTGTCCCATGGCACACCTTGGAGTCTTTAATTGGTTATTCTCGAACACAAATGGGGGCTCATGTATGTCGCTAAAGTCATGCATTTTTTTTAAATGAAAATTTTGGTCCTTGTGAAATAGCTCAGTTGGGGTAGGGGTGTGGAATATTAACAACTGTGTGCATGTTGAAATCCTACATGGTGTTTTGCTTTCTTTTCCAATTCCTTTACCTCTCTCCCTCCTCATGGAGCTCCCTTGATTTGTGGGAAAAAAAAAAAAAAGAGCCGAAAACCTTGAATTCTCTTTTGCCTAATACAATGCATTTGAAAACTTTGTATTAATTTGATCCCTAATTTTTAAAATGTGCTATGGTTTTAAGCATGTTACATATATAGTGGAACAAGAAGATAGCATTTTGTAATTAATCAAAACAAGAAATATATGCATCCGTGTTTTTATTTTACTGGATTATTGGATCTTCCCGTTTCTTAGATTTTATGATTTCCTTGATACAAGAAATAAATTACGGTTATCTACATGTCTTATAAAATTATAAATCATTCCAGACAACAGGAAAATAAAATGGATGATTTTCCTTCTGGTATCTGAAATATTCTACGATTATTCTTGCAAGCTTGGTTGTTCATAGCTAAATATTTTAAACTCCCTCATGGAACCTGAAGCTCAACTTTTCTTCCAATTTTCTATTTGCAGGCTTACATTAATCGGTGTCTACTATTTAGGCATCGAAGATGATGAAGACATAGGAAACCTTTGGCGATGAAGACATAGGAAACCTTTGGTAACCCACAACATGTGCAACATGGCACTTTGGGTAAGTTGCACCCTTTTTCCTGTTGTTGGGAGGGTCCCCTTTTTGGTGGGAATTTGTGAGTTGATCTGTACTATTAGGTTTACACTTAGAATTCAGGTGCTCACAGAAATAGGAATGTTATCCATTAATTTGAATGAAAGATTGCAAACTCGTGAATCTCCATTGTTTGATACAAATCTTTTTCACTTGAAGTGGCTTGTCCTACGAATTTTATGTCGAGAAATGATTTAAGAGGTACATATTATTTGGATGCTCCAACTTCCAAGCATGTGTACTGGGGTATTCTGAATGGTAGATTAATTCCCAAGAAATATGCAGATTTAGTTCAAGAGTCATGGTTTTGCATGCTATTTGCACTCAAGGGATAGAATCATGGATAATCATACCTCTATTTTGGTCCTCAAGATTTTCAGAGCATTAATGCGGTCTTCATTGACATGAAAGTAGTTTCTAAGTCACTGTTTAATGGGACAAAATTGTTGTCATGAAACTGATCAAAAGTTACTATTTGACTTGAATCATAGAAATGGGTGAATATTACGACCCAATGTCTTTTGTGGGTGGCAACCTTGGGCTCCATTTGCTAATCATGATGAGGCTTTTGTTATATACACCTCAATCCATTAATAATACACCTCTTTATCCTTTATTTATTTTTTATTTACAAAATACCCTTTTCTGAATAGTATTTTCTAGTATAGAAAAAATTATACTTCTAAAAATTTATTTCTTGAAAACAAAAATTATACTTTTGAAAAAAAAGTTTTAGAAGACAAAATATATACTTCCAAAAGTATATTTTTACTCTTCTGGCTTTTTTTTTTTTTTTTTTTTTTTGAAAGCTTGTTTTAGCACTTATTCTCAAATTGAAAGAGTAAAAATATATTTTTGGAAAGTATTTTTGGGAAGGAAAAAAATATACTTTCAAAAAATTACTTTCTGGAAGACATTTTCATAAAGTACTTTTGAAAGCATATTTAAAGAACTGCAAAGTACAATTCCATAACAATAATAACAAAAAAATATTATTTCTAATTGATAACTCATCCTAAAATTAATAGGTCATACCTTTGGAAACAATGCTCTCAAATAATTTATAATCTAGTATTTACGTATGCAATATTGAAGATAGGTGAAAAATTAGGATTTAAAACATGCTGAGGTTAATAGTGCAAAAGTTAGGGTTTAAAAATACAATAAAGATGAATTGACAAGTGTCTTGATTGTTCCAGAGAAGAAATCTAGAAAGAAAAATTAAGAGAAGAATCAAAGAGGAATAATTGATTGTTCGACAGAAGAAATCTAGAAAGAAAAGGAAAGAGAAGAATCAAAGAGGAATAATTAAAGAGTGATAGAATACCGAAAGAAAATTGTACTAGTAGGGTTATTCGGCCGCCTGGCTCGGTCACTCGACCACCTGATAGTCGACACCCAATTGGCACCCGAGTGGCCGAACCAGGTGGCCGATTAGCCACCACATGATCCATAGATCCAGATCTCCACTAATGAAGAGTTAAGGACTCCCCCTAAGTAGGGATTAAGAGTTAATCATACCAATAAGCCGATTAGAGGCGTATTACCTAATCCGGTAATCCTGTTGCAGGGCCCATGGGAATTCGGGCCTATAAATGTCAGTATAAATAGTTCATGTCACGAGGTAACGTCACTGTTCATTAATTACTATCGATACTTGTGCTTTGTCCTGACTTGAGCGTCGGAGTGCCTTTTGCAGGTACCTCCCCCCTCACTGGAGTATTCGATCGGAATTCTCGTTCGACCCACCAAATACGAGAAGATTACTAGTGTGCCCTTCAGACAGGTACATTTTGGCGCCCACCGTGGGGCCGAACCGAGAAAGACTTGAAGACTTAACAAGGCTATGACGAAGACAAGGAGAATGAACACGGAAAATCACCAAACCGAGGAAGAGCACGTTCAAGTTGAGGACGAAACTGATCTCACCGAGACCGTGCGCTTGCTCAAGCAGGAGATGGCTGCAATGAAACAGCAGCGAGAGAAGGATGCAAAGGAACTTTCGGCTTTGAGAGCCGAAAATGAGGCGTTAAAGAGTCAAGACTCCTCATGGAAACCTACCCAGCCTACTAACACTCAAACACACGGATCTTACCAATCCCATGACATCCATACCTCGGCTATCCATGCCTCGGCTGCGGCACCACAAAAATTTCAATCGGCCCTGCCTACAGTTGGACGTCCCACCGATGTAGCAACAGTGGGATCACACCGACATCCTTTTACACCTTCTATCATGCAGTTGCCTTTAATGGATAATTGGAAATCGCTGCCGATTGATAAATATGATGGTACTTCGGATCCTGACGAACATCTTGATGTTTTTCTTACGCAGGTAACATTAAGCACAACGGACGATGCTGCTCTGTGTCGGATTTTTCCCACATCGTTAAAAGGCCGAGCTTTGAGCTGGTTCACTCGGTTCCCCCCAACTCTATTGACTCGTTCAACACCCTATCTTCTCAGTTCACGGTTCAATTTGCAACGAGTCGGCCTCACAGTTTGACATCTCTGTCGTTGGTTAGTCTTCGGCAGGATAAGAAGGAAACTCTCCGGGCTTTCATGGATCGTTTTAACAAAACCGCTTTAGAAATTCGGGATCTTAATCCCGCAGTGGCACTCCATCATCTGACGACAGCTTTGAAGCCCGGGCCATTCGTCAATAGCCTGTGCAAAAAACCCCCTTCAGACATGAATGAACTTCGAAGACGAGCCGATAAATATATGCAGATGGAGGAGTTGGCTGAGTTCCGAAATCAAGCCCGAGCTGAACCATCGGGAAAGTCTGACAAGCCAGTAGAACCATCCTATCGGGGGCGAAATAAGGAGATAACTCTTCGTGACCGACCAACGCGGGGTCCGAAATACACTCATTATACTCCCCTCAATGCAAGCCGAGCTGCGGTGCTTGAACAAGCTCTAGCATCAGAGGTGTTGGCCGTCCCAAAAAGAGCTGCCACGCCACCGCGCGCCGATACTAGTAAATCTTGTCGGTATCACCGCAATAGGGGGCACTCTACCGAGGAGTGCGCGGCCCTCCGAGACAGAATCGAGGATTTAATCAAGCAAGGCCAGCTTCATAATTTCGTTGATCGGCCCGATTCGCATCGATCGCGCCAGTATCAACCTAGACACGACCGACCTCGACAAGACCGAGCTGATAGACCTCGCCACGATCGAAGCCGGTCATGCGAAAGGAAAGATGAGCCTACAGCTTCCCATAGGCGAGTCATCAACACCATCGCAGGAGGGTTTGCTGGTGGAGGCTCAACTTCTTCGGCACAAAAGAGGCATTTGCGCGCCGTTCGTTCGGTCAATTCGGTCGATAGACAACCCGTTCGGAGGTTACCAGCTATAACATTCACTGATGCTGATTTTCAAGGAATCGACCCCGTGCAAGATGATCCAATGGTAATTAGCGTTGAAATCCACAACTGCATAGTGAAGAAAACGTTGGTGGATCAGGGTAGTTCGGCCGACATTTTGTACTGGAACACCTTCAAGCAGTTGGTCATCTCGGAAAAGGAGCTCGTTCCATACGATGACCCTCTAGTTGGTTTCTCGGGAGAAAGAGTTAGCACTAAGGGGTACATTAAGCTTTTTACTCGTTTCTGTGTTGACGAGCAGGAATACAAGGAAATCTAAGAGAAGTACATAGTAGTACATGCTAACACTTCTTACAATATTCTTCTGTGTCGGCCATCGTTGAATATGTTGGGAGCTATTGTCTCAACGCCACACCTGGCAATGAAGTTTCCATCCGACAAAGGCAAAATTCTTACAATACATGCCGATCAGAAGGCAGCCCGAGAGTGTTACTTTTCCAGTTTGCGAGTAACCCCTGTGGAAGAAAAGCAATCAAAGTCAAGGAGAGTTATGTGGTAAACCCTCCAGTATCAGATAAATCCCAGACATGGGATTTAGATCCAAGAATGAATGAAGATGAACGGATGGAAGCAGTCGAGGAGAAGGTTGCAATCCAGGTCGGCCAGGGAACTCTGCAAGTTACATACTTGGGAGCGGGATTGCCTGAGGCAGATCGCCATGCATTGAGCAGGGTCATTCAGAAAAACAAAGATCTTTTTGCTTGGGTACCCTCGGATATGCCAGGTATAGATCCAAAGGTTATGTGTCACAAATTGTCTGTTTGTCGGGAGGCTAGACCGATAGCACAACGGAAGAGGAAGATGGGTACCGAAAGAAAACAGGCGGTCGAAACAGAAGTGGCCAAACTACTTGAAGCGGAGTTCATCCGGGAAATACAATATACAACATGGCTTGCAAATGTAGTTATGGTCAAGAAGACGAGTGGGAAATGGCGAATGTGCACGGATTACACAAATTTGAACAAAGCCTGCCCAAAGGATGCCTACCCATTGCCCAATATCGATCGACTAGTTGATGGTGCCTCGGGGCACAACATGTTGACATTTCTTGATGCCTATTCAGGATACAATCAGATTCAAATGCATCCACAAGATGAGGAGAAGACTGCTTTCATTACTGATTCGGCTAACTATTGTTATCGGGTAATGCCCTTCGGACTCAAGAATGCCGGCGCCACATATCAGCGACTCATGAATAAAATATTTCAAAATCAAATCGGCAAGAATATGGAGGTTTATGTGGACGATATGGTTGTTAAGTCAAATGACCTTCATAATCATATCTCGGACTTAATTGAGATTTTCCACCAGGTTCGACGGCACGACATGCGGCTCAATCCGGAAAAGTGTGTCTTCGGGGTAGCAAGCGGCAAGTTTCTCGGCTTCATGCTTTCGACTAGGGGTATTGAAGCCAACCCTGACAAATGCCGAGCAATAATCGACATGAGAAGTCCCCATAATGTTAAAGAAGTGCAACGACTGGCTGGCCGTCTCACTGCATTATCAAGGTTTCTTCCATGCCTCACAGAGGTGGCCAAACCAATATTGGGGTTGTTGAGAAAAACTAACAAATTCGCATGGGCCGAAGAGTGTGAAACGGCCTTTCAAACATTAAAGTTGCGTCTCGGAACGCCTCCAATCCTCTCAAAACCCGATCCCTTATCGGACATCATAATATACATGTGTGTTTCAAATGAGGCCATCAGTTCGGTCTTGGTCCAAGAGAGGGACACACAAGCATCGACCCTGAAGGACCCATTCGGTTTTGACCTGAAAAGCATCAATTCCGAATGACTCCATTCGGTTTTGACCTAAAAAGCATCAATTCCGAATGACTCCATTCGGTTCTTGTCCAAAAACAATCAAGTCCGAATGAAGTGCTTCGATCATGACCCAAGGTATCAATTCCGCATGACTCCATTCGGCTTTGACTCACAGACATCAACTCCGAATCAATCCATTCGGTTATGACTCAGGCAACAATTCCGCGTGGCCTTGACTCAAAAAAAAACTTGTTTAACTCGTTTCAGAGGACCTTGTTCGGTTTTAGTAAAAGACCAACTTTAGCTTGGTTCTCATTAAGACGGCGGTATTTAACCTACGGTTCTACGTGAACTCCGGATTCAACAATTCAACAATACGCCAGATGGTTACGAAATGCAAGTAAAAAGTCACCTTTCATTACTTGGAGCAAAAAATACAAAAAAGGCTCAATCGACCTATTAAACCCTACACTATTCATATTCTACGAAGTACAAAAAGGCAGTCACTCATCAGGGTGAGTGGGGGCATCCTCCTGAGTTTTGGGCTCGTCCTCTTGCTCGTGGGTCGACCCTTCTTGATCATCCTCGGCTTCGTCATCCGAAGCACCTTGAGCCTCTTCCCCTTCGGGAGTATCATCCGATCCATCACTATCAGGCATAGCTCCCGCAAGCATTTCGGCAAACGACATGAACGCCCCATGGTAAAAGTCATTGGGCATGTCAAACTCAAAGTCCTCGCGAAAACGGCCGAAGTACTTTGCTTGCCGAATGGCGTGGCAAAATCCGGCCTCATGCTGCGCCACAATTTGATCCTTCGTCGACTCCTTAACCCTCTCCAGCTTGGCCTGTGCTTCTTCGGTTAGACGCTTCCCCTCGTTCTCCGCCTTTTGAAGGTCCAGCTGAAGAGTATCATTATTACGCCTCTGAACGTCTAGCTCAGCGGCAAGTTGGCGGTTCGTAGCTAGGGCCCCTTCGGTCGTAGCACGAGCCTCGGCCACCACTCTATCGGCCTCCTCCAACCTCTGCCTCATCTGCACCAATTCACCTATCGGCCCCATGGCAAGTTGGTTCACCAATGCTAGGGACCGAGACTGCAATTCGCAATAATATTTCCACTTGGACGTTGCGTCCATCTGACTCAGTAACTCCCGACCCTGCTCCGAGAAGCCCTCTGGCCGAACGAGTGAATCGGCAGACACACCTTCACCCCAGAAAGCCCTAGACATCTACCCAGGGGGACGCAAATCACCGTTCCACCTGGAGAAGACACGATTTGTTTGGATTTCTTGGTTTTCTCAGGCCTTTCTTCGGCAGTTTTTCTCTTACGACTCTCTTCGGCCACTCCCTTCCCTTTTTTCCCTTTTTTATGATTGCGTGTTGGCGAAGGAATAGTCCGATTGTCCTGCTCCGGCCGAGGCGACGGAGTAACCGATGAACTTCCCATGACACCAGAAGCCTTCACTTGTTGCACCCGACTGGCAAGGAGGTCACGGATATTGAACTCGTTCGCTCCACTCTTCACCATGATTCCTGCATGAATAACCGAATGAACATCAATAGGAATTTAGTTTGAGGCCGAAACTAGAAATTCACTCACCTATCAAGTCATAATCCCATCGGGATGAATCAACCAGGTTAATCAAAGACCTCGTCGGCAAACGCCGAGGAAGTTGAAGCAAAAATTGAATACTCCGTTGCTCTTCGGCTGTGAGAAGGTCGTCCGGTACCTCATCATATGGCCGAGGGGTGCGCGTCCAGTACAACGGAAAGAAACTTTTATCGTCGGCCCCAAAAAAGAAACGTCGTCCGTTCGGACGAATGGTCACTCGAAAGAATCCAGCCTTGAAGTTCTTGTAAGATGAAGTAAAGCTATCCAGAAGCTGCCGACTCCCCACTCGGTTAAGCGACACCCACTTCGCCAAGTCCGAAGGCCGAGAAGAGTAAAAATACAGAAAAAGTAGAGGCGAGGGTTTTATGTTCACGCACCGACACAAATGCTTGAAACCCTGAAGCTGTGCCCAACTATTCGGGTGTAGTTGAGTCGGCGCTACGTTTAAAACTCTGAGAACTCCCATGGTGAATTCATCAAATGACAACTTCACTTTCAAATCTCTTAAAAGGTAGTCATATATATAGAAAGACGCCATCCTCTCGGCCTGCTTTTCTAAGCAGACCGTGTCGGGATCGGGGAACGCATTATTTCGGCACGCTCGAACCCCGATCGGGTATGGTTCCTCTTTCGCGTCAAAATGTAAACATTCGTTGGTAATCATTGTGGTATCTCGGTAACGCGAGTAATATGAAGTCACCTCTCCATTCACCCATTCATACTCCGGCACTTCGGAAGACCCATATTTTTGTCGATTTGAGACTCGCCTAGTCCTAATCGGCTCCCCCTCGCTTCCACTGGTCGAGGCCCCTTCAGATGCGCTCATAATCTCTGTAGATCGTCCATCTTCGTTCGGCGAATGCCCCGAATCACTGGATGATGACCCCTCGGATGATGATGACCGAACCTCACTAGCCGAAGAGCTTTCAGATGAAGTAGCCATAGAAGCAGACTTACCAAGACTGCGAATTCACAATAGTCACTCGGCACGCAGCTCAATCTTCAAACTTGCTCGGGCAACACGATTCGGCTGAGAGCGATATGTGTAAAAGGCCCCACCACTAACAAGGCGGGAAAATTTCAAAAATTCGAAAAAGTATAATTGCCTAATCTTCAAGATCCAACGCTAGAGATCATCCCAACCTTTCGACTGCCCCATCACTTAACCTCACATCTATACCCTTGCAAAAGGTCTCCCTTTCACAAGGCTAGGGGGCAAGTGTACTAGTAGGGTTATTCGGCCGTCTGGCTCGGTCACTCGGCCACCTGATAGCCGACACCCAATCGGCACCCGAGTGGCCGAACCAGGTGGCTGATTAGCCACCACATGATCCATAGATCCAGATCTCCACTAATGAAAAGTTAAGGACTCCCCCTAATTAGGGATTAAGAGTTAATCATACCAATAAGCCGATTAGAGGTGTATTACCTAATCCGGTAATCCTGTTGCAGGGCCCATGGGAATCCGGGCCCATAAATGTCAGTATAAATAGCTCATGTCACGAGGTAACGTCACTGTTCATTAATTACTATCGATACTTGTGCTTTGTCCTGACTTGAGCGTCGGAGTGCCTTTTGCAGGTACCTCCCCCCTCACCGGAGTATTCGATCGGAATTCTCGTTCGGCCCACCAAATACGAGAAAATTACTAGTGTGCCCTTCAGACAGGTACAAAAATGAATAAAGAAAAAATGGGTGAATGAAGAAGATAATTTTTAGAAATGAAATTTACTTTAAAAAAAGAATAATTTAAAAGGTATTTAAAGAAACTTAAAAAGAAAATAAAGAAGGGAAATAAGAGATGTATATGATATTTGCCTCAAGATAAATTCGGGAGTATTGTTTCTTACATCCAGCTTTTTATTTACCTATCATACGTTCCTAAAC